TTTGAGTGATTTTCAAAGATTAAAATTGTTAAAATGACTATCAGGACAAGCGTTATCATATTTCATATAAATATAATGTGGTTGTATGAAATTATAATCAATTTTACCTATTTATTTCTAGACATCAATTTACAAATTTTTCAATCTTTATTTTAATATTTAAATGTTATAAAATAGCTTTGAAAATGAATTTCGTATGAACTTTAGATATAGGTTATTCCTATTTAATTCTCTTTTACCTTTAATAGGATTTTTATTGATAATGAAAAATTATTTTTTTAATATTCTCTTATCCGTGAAAATACTAAAGTTCTAAGAAGTCGATTTTTACGGCCAGGACCTGAGACCAATTTTAAAAAAATTTCGGGCCCGAACCCGACTAAATCACAAAATTTTTTTGTTCAAGCCTGACATTACTAAAATTATTTTGAAATTTGATTTTAAATATTGTAATATCTAATGAAAAAATACGTACATTTACAGAGTTTCCCATTCAAAAAAGGAAAAGTTTCAATCATAAATAGAAAAGGGTCAATCATAAAAGGAAAAGGTTCAATCAAAAAAGGAAAAGGTTCAAACAAAAAAGGAAAAGTGTCAATCAAAAAAGGAAAATTCCCAAAAAGAAAGGAAAAAGTCCGATCAAAAAAGGAAAATTGTCAAACAAAAAAGGAGAAGGTTCAATCAAAAAAGGAAAAGGTCCAATCAAAAAAGGAAAAGTATCAATCGAAAAAGGAAAATTCCCAAAAGGAAAGAAAAAGTGTCAATCAAAAAAGGAAAATTCCCATTCAAAAAAAGAAAATCGTAATTTTTTTAAAAAAAATTATCAATTTTTCTTAAATTTTTATTTATTTTTGTCATTCCTTCTTATTTTATTTGTATCTCTTTTCTCAATATTTTTTCTCATTTTTGATTCTTTTGTATTTTTAAATTATAAAATTATTATAAAAATTTTATAATTAATTATAAAATCATAATCTTTATCTGTACCAAAATTATTTTCATTATCAATGTCTACTGTCGACATTTAAAAATTATTATTTTTTTGAAAAATATATTTACAATGCATATTTTTAAATGTAAATTTAAATAAATAAAATAAAAAGATTATGATTTTAGAATTATTTATAAAATTATTATAATAATTTTTGCTATTTATTTAGCAACGAGCTCTTTTTAAAAAAAATGTAGCACGCTAAAGCTATCGATACTTAAAAAATAGCTATGGAATAACGCGCTAAATATAGAACACTGCAAATTACATATTTCAAGTTCAGGATTGGAACCGAAAAAAGATTTAAAAAATTGTTTTATCTTCTTCTCTTTTATTTCTGCAAATTCTATCCAACTAGACATTTGTTAATATGTTGAGGACCTGACAGTCATACCCATCAAGACAAAAAATGAAGACTTTCAGTCAAACCATATTAAAATTAGCTTTTATTTCCCATATTAAAAAAAATTATTTTTACACCACCCTTCCTCCAACCCCCCCCCCCCCCCAGATCAAGAATGAAGACTTTTAGTTAAACCATATTAAAATTAGCTTTTATTTGATACCCATATCAAAAAATTTATTTTTTACACCCGGACTTTTTTCTTTCTTTTTGGGAATTTTCCTTTTTTGATTGACACTTTTCCTTTTTTGTTTGGACCTTTTCCTTTTATGATTGAACCTTTTCCTTTTATGATTGACCCTTTTCCTTTCTTGATCGGACCTTTTCCTTTTATGATTGAAACTTATCCTTTTTTTGATTGGGAAACCCTGTATTATAATATGGCCACCTTAAATAAAAGTATATTCCCATAAATATATGATTTCAGCGCTGAACCCACTAGTGTTGACAGAAGTATGCTAGAATTTCCTCATAATCCTTCAAATTAGATCTTTAATTTAGGAGGAAAGAAAAAAAATGAGAAGCTCTTCACACGTTTGTGGGCAAGCTGCAAGTACTTGTAAGCGTAATCGTCCTTGAACTATTGCTTAAACGCAGGGCTGTGCATTTGACCGATCAAATACGTTTCGGTCAATTAACCGATATTTGACCGGTCAAATATGGTCATATACGGTCAAATTCAAATATATGTTTTTTTAAGTTAATATCAACTTTATTTTGAATATAATAGTAAAATGAATCTATATTATTAATTTAATTCATTGTCATTAAACAACTAACGTTTAGCTATCCGTAGCAGATTCTTGTTCTGATTCATATTCAATATTATTATTTTCTTTAATATTTTTTAATCAATTTTCCTGATGTCTTAGATCTTCAATCGATTTCTATTTTCAAAAGAATATTAACCCAAATCGACCTATTTCTTTCTAAAGAAGGAATAGAACTAAGAATTATTAATCTCTTAATGGGTATGGTGGGCAAACTTTAATCTATTAACTTGAGGTCGGAATTGATTGTTTTTAGAAATTACTACTTTCCTAATTCGTTATATTAAACATGCTGTTTTTGCTTCTGAAATTAATTATATCACTTAAAATAATTTGGTCATCAGTATTTTGTAAAATAGCTAATTCTTGAATTATATCACATACTCATTAAATTCACTACTATTGAGATTCTCCTCTTGATATTGTGGACCCAAAAAATGAGCAAACATTGTGATCACATATATTTATATCGTTTCTCCCTTTTTTAAACATATTTTTAATTATTTTCCTTTAAATTTTTTTTAGAGTATTTGACCTGGCCAAATACTCCTCCTGTCAATTGACCGACTTGCCAACCCTGCTTAAACGTCTATGGGCGGTACCAAAAGGGTCTGGATAAAATAACACAGCTCACACATAAATTTCCATTAATTTGGGAAATGGAAATTACGCATATGAAAGACGCGTGTAAGATTAAAAATAAAATGTGATTCCGATTGACATTTCGCTCAAACAAAATCATTATTGAGCATATTTCCAGTTTAATTTTTAGGTCAGAGAAAGAAAATCTTCAGTGTCCGAGACCGATGGCTTCGAGCCGCCTGTGCAGGCCTTTATATGGCAGTAGGCTAAAAATGCGCTCTGATGCAGAATTTGAATGATAATTTCAGAATATTACTTAAATTTGAGGCTTGGTTAGGAATTTAAAAAATACTAATACTTTAGTTGAATAAATCTGATGGTTATTTTTGACGATTTCCTGAGAAATATGGCATATTCAAAAAAGAAAGAAATAACTAATCGAATAATTTACAATAGGCTTACTTTGTGAGTGTTAAAATTTTATATCCATTACTTTTTCTCTTATAAAATATATATTATTTTAATTCAAATCAAAAGAATTTGTAGGAAAAGTCAAAAGGACAATATTTGAGCGTGGCACATTCATTCCCATTTCATCCAATGGCGCCAGATTAGAAAACAATGCCGATTAGAAAATAAAATGTAAGATAAGCCCTGCCAAGCAAGCATAAAATTTCAGTCAGTAAAATTTAAGTGATAAACACAAGCTTTCAAATCTTTTATAATAATAACCTTATTAAAATTAAAAATGATATCAACTTTTTTTAAAAAAAAAGAAAAGTATTGAATAATAAATAAATAATAATTTCAATATCATTATATATTTAGCAGACGAAAAATTATTTTAAAAATGTAAATAAAAATGGCAAGGGGATAAATGCTCGAATCATAAAAATAAATTACTCGAATAAAAAATAAATTACTCGAATAAAAAAAAAAATACAATATAAAATCGTAATTACGAAAAAAAAGAAATATAATACATCCATCCATCTATCAAATTTTTATAAAAATAATAATAGCGCATAAGTAAAAAGGCGAGCCTTATATAAAATTGCATTTTTTTTATATTTTTTTTTAACAAAAATAAAAATACATAATAATTTTATTTTATACGATAAAGAAATATATAATTTTTTTTTATATTTCTCTCTCTCCCTCCCTCTCGCTGCGTTTCACATTTATATATAAAATAAAATTATAACAAAATAGAAAGAAAAAAAAATATATATAAAAGCTGTAAGGGAACGAAGGCAATTTATATTATATATTTTTTTTGCGTTTCCATTATTTAAAATAATACATAATAATAAATAATGCAAAAAAAAACGGCAAATGCTTCTTTTACAAATTAATATAATTATTTATTTTTCACTAAAGGCATTTATTTATTTTTTTTTAGCTTGCTTCTAATTTAGAAATCGGAATACTTAAGATTTTTTTTCTTCTAGGTAGAAATATGATTAGTGTTGCAAATATCCAATTAAACCAAGTTCCTCAAAAAAGTAAGCTCCAAGCATCGATTCGATTGCTATTCCAAATGTAAAATATTTGAATTTTTAAAAAAATCGAAACAAATATTTTTTTTTAACGCGGAGTAATATATAAATCGATTTTTACAAAAGAAAAATAATCGTATTTATATTATTTATTTTTTTTACAAACTCCTCGTTTTCTATTGGTCCAAAAAAAAACTTTTTTTAAAAAAATAAAATGGTTACCTTTTAAAATATTTGAGCAATTAAATCTAAAATTAACTAGAGGATAGAGAATTTAAAGATTCGAATTTTTCCTTCTCAATCAGAGACTACTTATTGTATTTATCATTTCACATCTACGCCATTTTGTTTCTCTCTATTTAAAATAAAAATATATAATTTGTGCGTTTTCGTATGCAATGTGTTATTGTAATAGAAAAAAATAAATAAAAATAATAATTCTCTTTCATTCGTTTACCTCGCCTCTGCTTTGCCTTTAAAAATTTGAAAAATAATGATGTAAACAAGAATTATTCTTTTCTTTTAATTATTTATTCTCTTTTTTTTTAAAATTATTCTTTCTCTTTTTTTTCAAAAAAATAAATAATATTTTTATATGTTATTTATTTTATATAGGGATAAGAAGAAGAAAAAAAATATACTATATTTACTTTAAATTTTATTCCCCTTTTATATATTTTTTTCTAATTATAAAAAAAATATAAAATTCGCGAAAAAATAAAATAAATGAATGGATGAAATTTTTTAAAAAATAAAAATGGATTCGAAATGTAATAAAAAGAAAAAATAAATATTTTTAATATAATTTAATTTTCATTTTGTAACAAAAAAAATTAAAGAAAAAAAAAATGAAAATTAATAGGAAATTATATTTTTTAAAAAAAGTAAAATAAAATAAATCAAATTATGAGACAATATATATATAAAATCTTTTTTTTCTTGTAAAAAATTAAAATAAAGGTAAATTTTTATATAAAAATAAAGTTAAAAACAAGTTCTCATCGAAGGAATCAATAAATTATCGGGAAAACATAAATGTAAATTTCAAATATATATTTTTAATATAAAATTCACAAATATATTTTTACAATTATTACCGCGCGAAAATTTTCCAAATATCATCTGTTGGGATTTTCATCATTCGGGATTTTATTTTCACCAAAATATTTAAAAAAAAATTAAATATAACAGTAATTTAAAAAAAGGTATTTTTTACCTGATCATTGCCCCAATACGAATTTAATCAAATCAATATCGTCCAATATTTTTTTTTTTCTAAAAAAATTACTTTTTTTATCCCTAAATTTATATTTTATTTAATATTATTTTAGTTATAAAAAGAAAGATAATGGATAAATGGAAAATTAATTTTTTTTTTTAATTTGTAATTTTTTATAATTTGTAAAAAAAAATAAAATAAAAATAATTTATAATTTTTAAGCGAAAAAATAATTTATTGTTTCTTTCAGAGAAAAGAATAAAAATATTCGAAAAAAAAGAGTTTTATTTTAATACATAATCATTTTCCCCTCTCTTCAATAAAAGTTTATTAACAAAGATTAAAACATAAATAACATTTTTTTTAATACAAAAATAAAAAAAACTTAGTAACAAAAAAAAATTCTAATTTATTTTCTTAAATAAATATATATTTTTTGAATAAGGAAATAATTTAGTAATGTTAAATGTACTTTTATATTGCTAATTCAATACAGGTCAATCCCAAAGAAGAAAGGGGCACCAAGCCCCGGTCCCGTTTGAAGAAGCATCAGAAGGGCCTATGGAAGCTGCGGCCCTCAATACACATAGAGAACATTCCACCGGGGGTGGGGTGAACGCGGCTACGCCCACATTAAATCAGCTGTTGCAGGCTCCAACGCGCATGCTCCACAGCACTGGGGCCCCACCTAACGGGCCTCCTCAGGAACCTAGATTTCATCTTATTACTAACAGTAACGGTAGTAATAATAACGCCAATCATCATTATCTGCCGCCACCCATGCATTATGATGGTAATAGTGCTGGCTATAACTTTATGAATCACAATTATTCTGGGGCTGAATACATGCAACAGCGTCGTTTACCATCGCCCTATAATCAGGTATTTTCTCATAATATATAATAATGCATTCATTACCCATTTTTAGCAATCCTCTATTCCCTAATTACTTGAAATTAAGATTATATATTTTATACTCTGTAGATTTAGAAAAATAGTTTATTCTTTAAGTTTATTTAGAATATAACACCTAATTCATTTTTAGTTTAAACTTGCTTAGGTTTCATTTTGTTTTCTTTAATCCTATTGGTTGAACGATTTCATTTGTTGAGCTAAAAGATGATAATATTTTTTATTATAATAAAAAAAACAAATTATAGCTCATTAACAAAGAACATTATATATCTAATGAATCTAATTATGCTGATTATATGTCAAGAAAATCTAATCCTTACCCACAAGAAATGGAATCTGGACCTTATCCTTATTCTAGAGCTTATATGCAAAGTTTACTTATATATTAATTTTATATACACAGCATTTTTGTAAATTTCTTTTTAATCTTACACAACAAATTTATATATAAAAAGGCAATATCCAAAATTTTGGTCATCAAACCATGGTAGATAATAATATCCCTGGTAACTTATTAAATCGCATGCTCTTATCCTCAAATTACCCTGAAAATAAAATACAAACACATTCAGCTACCCATTCCCCACATTTGCTCAATAATAATTCTGAAATGAATCACTTATTAAATTCCTTAAATAATACAAAACCTTCTATAGTCAAACAACCATCAACAAATAAAAAAGGACCCAACCATAAAAATTCTACCCCTAAACAACCTAAAAAACAAAATACTGCAGATTCTAATAGCACTACAAAAGTTAAAAAGAAGAAGAAAAATAATGACCAAGAGTTTGACAAATCAATTAATATTGCTATAACTAAAAGTAATAATAAATCTTCCAATAAGAGTTATAACATAGTAAATAATTATGATCCTCTTAAAGTTGTTGATGATAATAGTAATAATATATCAAATATTAGTTTAAATACTCCAATGAATTTTGAAAGTAATACAACAGCTAAAAATGAAACAGGTAACTCTTGCTCATTACCAATTTATTCCACCAATTCCTTAAATCAATCAAAAATTCACGTCAATCCAGGTAATTTCTAAATGTTCATTAATTTTGTTTTTATTTTTACCCGTATTTACATTTTTTTATTGCATTTTATATAATATTATATTAATGTTAATATGTAAGTAATATTTATAGTATTCGATGTGGATAATTATGTTTGCATGTATTTACAATCAATTATTTTGTTAAATAAGATTTTGAACTGAATTTATAGGATTTAGCAAAAAGAAAGCCATTTAAATACTTAATTTTATAAAATTAAAATTAGTCATTTCAATGAATTAATTACAATATAATTGAATATATTATAGAATATTCGATTATGTTCATGATAGATTAAATATGTTTTATTATCTCCTTTTTTTAAATTAGAAGAGACAAAAAAACATTTTAAATAAATCTTAATTTAATAGAAAAATTTGATATTAATGTGATAAGAAAATATGTTGCTATCATAAAGTTTTATATAATTTTATTAGTGCCTCAAATTTTTTAAATAAAATATATTTTATTATTAAAAATATGTGAACATTTTTGGAGATGGTCATATCACCCACAATATGATAGAAATCATGTTTCTAATAATTAATAGGAATTAAGCCTTTGAATGGTAGAGATTCTATATGGGAAAATTTTTTTTTGAATAATGTGATGAGGTCTTTCAGTTATAATGATGATTTAAACAAGAGGAAACCTTGTCTTTCATTAATCCAACTTATTAATAAATATTATAGGGTATTACTTTGCTAATTGAGATATTTTTGGTATTTTGTTTTCAAATGATTGCATTAAGTAATTTGGTTACATTATTATTGGCTGACCCAAATATATATGTTATGTATGTTGTTTAGCAGAGATCTACAACCTGTTACTTGGTAGATCAGGCTAAAAATTTAAAAAGGCTGGGGCAAGCAATATTTTTTTTGATATATAATATATATTTTGATGAATTTTGATATTTCATAGAAATTATAATATATATTGTTTTATTAATTTTTTCACTAAGACTCACCAATATTATAAATTGTTTGTTTTGCTGTTAAACAACATATTTTGACTTAGGCCTTGTATTTTAAAAATTTTTTTAAAGTGGGCCAGGCAATCTTAGTAAAAAAATTGAAACTGGGCCATGCCTGCAAAAATTTGGTCAAACTGGAAAATGTTGTTAAAAAGTCTTTTATGCGTAGATCTTGGCCCAATTAAGATTACCAAAATAATATTGTGTAAACCTAGAGATTTTGCTCATAGATGGCATTAAGGTTTGGATATCTATTTGTTAAATCTCAAAGTTGACTTATGGCTAAAATCTTAATCGACCCTTTTTTGGGGTTTTAATAACACTACTAAGCTGGGCATTAACTCAGACCTCTGGTGTTTAGTATAAATGTTAGACAATTTTACATAATATTAACTTATTTTTAAATAAATATTTATTTTACATTAATTTAGAAAATCATTATAAAACTGGTACTGAAAATAGAGAATTTAATGGAATGCCTCATACCCTTTCAAATCAAATGTCTCAAATATCAATCCCTCATGCAGTTAATAATATTTTTATATATTTGTTTGAAACTTATAAAAGAAATTAGAGTTTGAAAAAAATTTTTTGAAGAATTTTTTTTACCTTATAAATTATGAGTAAAGAATCTTTGAAGATCACAAAAATAAATTATAAATTAAAAAATTTGTCATACCATGAAAGATTTTTTATGCATATAAATCACTTACTTTATAAGATTTTTTTAAAAAAATGGATTTTAGAATTTTAGGTGAAATTTGGTCAAAAATTCTGTTTGCTCATGGGCAAAAAAATCTTTAGAGCTTTTCAATCTCTGAAAGAAATTGAGATTATTTTTATTAATAAAATTATTATGTACTATGAATAAGAGATGAGTAGAGTATAATTTTATTATATCTGTTATTTTAATTCTTATACATATTATTCCTAACATTTAACATTTAAGTTAATTAATTTTTTTTATAAATGTATAAAGTTATTAATTTTTTTTAAAAAAAATAAACATCTTCTGGGGGTGTGTAAATTATTCATAGAAATTTTATAAATAATTGTTTTAATAAACTTGATATTAGATACCTAAAGTTTATTGATTTTTTAAAATAAATATATAATTTACTTGGTAGCCATTAGCTAATAATATAAATAAATATTTAAGTCATGAACTTGACTACACATTTTTTTAAAAAAGATATTGATATTTCATTAACAATGTATCATATCAGCTGCTTTTTTAAAGTCTTAAAATAATTATTTTAATTTATCACTTGTAAAAGGGTTACATTTAATAGATTTAATTAATATCAAAACTTCCTAAATAATTTTATTTTTATGATATTAATAGTATCTTGAATTTTAATTGCCTATTATTTTACTAGGTGCAAAATTTACATTATTATTACTTTTTTTATAGGCATATAACTTTTAACATCTAGTTTATTCATAATCTAAAATTTTTCAACATTACATCTATAAATAAGTTTTATATTTTTATATAATATATAATACTTGTTATCACAATTTTATTTAAAGGGCTTGAATTTATAAATTGATAATCATGTTAAGTTATTTGGTCTAAATTATTATTAGATCACGAATTTCTGAATTAATATATTATAAGTGTTGTTTAGATTATTTTAGAAAGGAAAAAAAACAATATACCTGTCCCTTGAACAAAATACCACTGGTCTTTACACAAATTTTAATAATTTTTTTAAATGTTTAGAAAAAATGGGGGAAAGTTTTATTTGAAAGAAATTATTAATTTCTTCCACTTTTGAATTAAGATAATATTTAACTAATGATAATGGCCTAAAACTGTGCACCACACAAACTAGTTTTAAAAAAATCATGCACAATATGGAGTACTGGGGAAATGTCTAGATGTTAGTTAAATATATTTATACTTGTGTTCTGCAAGGTTCGACCCTTCCCTCCAATTTACTTTGGTCTTAGGCCAGCCTAATTTTTGGAAATAATTTTGGTTTGGGCTATGACAAATCAGGCCAAGTCTAATGATATTTAATTGTTACAATATTTAGGATAATGCCTGATGTGGGCTAGGGTTAATCTAACCATAAAAATAGATTACGAGAAACACTTAATTTTTATTAGACACCAAGCAATATTTGGTAGAATCTAACACATACTTATGGCTGGCAAAAGTATGGAGCAGTCAATGAGTATATTAGTTTTTATCGTATTCAATTTAGCTTAAGGCCTAATACCAAGCTTATTCACTATTGGTGTGCTATGCAACAAAGATAAGAGTTAGTATTTATATTAGATGAGGAGAAATACTCTTTTTATTAGACACTTAATACACTATATTAGGGGCGTATTGCGAGGGGGACTATGGGGGGGGGGGGTAAGCCTCGATTTTTATTTCCCTTTTCATGTTTTGAGAAGACAGCAAAAATTTCGATATTTGAAAACCTTCCTCGTTATTTTTTTGTTTTTAAAATTAATTTTTCAAAAATCTTCTTCATATTATTTTTATAGGCCTCTTCTGCTAAGTTGACCACCAACATGTAGTGGTGATATATAGCTGGATTTTTAACAGGGTTTGAGCCATCTCTGCAAAATAAGCAAAACTATCATCTTAGCTGCAATCTAGGCTTAAACTGTTTATTCTTATTTTACCCTATCATTATCAAAAAATTGAGACAAATCTATCCTACCCTCACTCTCATAGACGCTATACTCAGGTATATATTTACGGATGTCGCCCGATTCAGAAATTCTATTTTTAGTTGAAATTGTACCATTAATAAAAATTCAAAACTAGCAAGATTAATATACAATTTATAATTTCTTTAGAAAGCATTATGCACTTTAGTCTAATTAATATCTTTGATAACCAGAGTAAAATGACTTGAATGAATTTTAACATTTTAGCAATTCATTCTGATAGAAATTGTTGGCAAGAACCTATATACAACGATTTGGCGAAACGCAAATAGAAAGATCCAACTTAGATGATGAGCTTTCACAATACAGCGATGAAATTATCGGAATAAAAAATTTAAACAATTCCTTACCTGTATGGATACCTTATTCTACTGCCAAATGTGAAAATTCTTTCTTTCTTTCTCTCTTTCCATTTTAGCTATTTTAGCCCATTTGCATCAAAAAAAATTTAAAGGAAAGGAAAGGACTTTCATCTTATGTTGATCATGGCAGATAAAAGAACGAGTTTATGCGTATATAATTTTTCAAATTTAATGTTCATAAATCAATCCCTCGATATCGTAATGGATTCCAAATCCATGTATTAAAATATGGAAAAAGAATTATCACGGAAGATTGAAATCTTTTTATAGAAAAATCAGCCCAAAGAAAACGAAGAAATGAATGGGTTATGGAATTTTTTTTAATTTGCATAGAAATATTGGTGGTATTAAATTAAATTACATTGTTTTTAAAATATATTATACAAATAAAAAATTTATTCATATTCCTAATAAAAAAATCGATATTATTATATATATCATATTTTTTGATAATAAATCGTATTCCTCCCCTTTCGGCAAGTTTTTAAACAATACATCACTGACTTAATTCGATAGACACTTCTGAGCAATGCTTAGCAGCCGGTAAACTTCTTTTAGTTTTTTCAGAATTGCACCTTTCAAGTTAAGGCCTGAGATACTCGTGCAGTTAGCTTAGGACTATTCAACAAATATAAGGGTTAATATTTATAATAGATGAGGAGAAATTACTCATTTAGACACCAAACCCACCACATTCGGTAAAATAATAGAGAATAAATCAATATATTTTTTTAAAAAAATTCCCTTTTCTATAAGCATTTAAAATTTTTATTAAAATTGGGGTTTTTCAGTAGGCCCCACCAACATCTGGGATGAATTATTTGATATAGATACACGGAACTTTGTATCCTTGCAAGACAAATAATTTATATAGACTTTTGAATTTAGACTTGTTTTTTTTCCTGATCGGAACCTGATAAAATTTTGTCCCACTTATTGGGTAATTTTTTTTCCTCAAAGGTCTAAACCTGATTCGAAATTTTTTAAAATAGGTCTGACGCCATTTTTTATTGGACTGTTGAAAAAATAAGATATAAGCTTAGTGTTTTTAAATGGTTAACCCAATATTTTATCCAAAAAATAAGAAACAAGCCTCGATATTTTGTTAATAGATGTCCAAACATTTCTACCTTCTATGAGCAAAATCTCCAGGCCTCTAATATTCTTGGCTAAAATATTGGGTTAGCCGTTATAAACACTATATGCCAAGGAAATTATAAATCCTGAATGATGATAAATAATTATGTTAATTTTGAAATGATATTCATAAAGAATTAGGAGGCCAGAATCAGCTAAATCCTAGAAAAATATCTGTTTGAGTCCAATGGACTCATTGCATTTTTTATTACTTTCCAGAAAGAAAAATGATAAAAAGATGTCAAGAAGGGTTTATAAGGGAACTTATGGATTGGGAACACTTAATAATTATAATATATTTTAATAGATGGATTTAATTTTATAAATTTATTTGTAATAGTTTAGTAATTAATTGAAATTCACCTTAAGTCTGCCTAAGTTAATCGAACTGGGCTCAGTCTTAAAAAAACCTAAGCTGAGTTGGATCTTAATTTTTTTTAAAAAAATTTCAGGACTTATAATAAATTTTACTGCATACAAGTAAAAATAAAAGATCGAAAACGAGGGATATCATCACTCATATAAATTCATCCTTTTTATAAAATATGGATTTATTTATGGCAGATAAATATTTATATTTTAAATTATTAAATAATTACAGGAAACAAGCAATTCTACTAAAGTTCAATCCTTTTCTCCCGATCAAACCAGCAACATAAGTTTTAAGGAAGAAAATTCTTTAAATTTAAATAGTCCTGCAAGCTGGATGACAAAACCATCTTTGAGCCCAAAAAATCAGTCCTCTTTAAGCCCCCTATCCAACAAAGACGATAAAAATACTGTTTTGCGTGTCAAAGTAATTAGCATTTATTATTATTTTAATTAAAATTTTGCTGCTGTCTAGTTGGCATAATTATCCTGATATTTTATAATGGTTATCATATTTTATGGTTTAATTAGCTTACATTAACTCTGTTAGAACCTGATTTCCTTTATAAACTCGGAAAAGTGTACTAACAATGATGTGTATATACATTGGCAATTCATGCATTGAATGCATTTAAAAGTGTACATATACATTCATAAGAATCAGCCATAGCACTATTTTGTGGTTTGCCCGTCGATTAAATTATGAATATGCAATCATATAATGAACGATAATATGGTGTTCCCTCAAACCTCGATTTAGATATACTATATAAGGCATTTAATTATATAGTATTAGAGATCAACACATTCTGGCTAGCTATAAATTTTTGCACAAGTTGCTTGGCCTTGCTGTTAAATTTTTGCCTAGCCCATTATAATTTTTTCATAAATTACTTGGCTAAAATTTTATGTCAGGCCTGGCCCATTATTATTTTTGCAAATCTGTTATAATTGTTATTTAAATTTGCATAGTTAGGCTCATTGGCAAGGATGCAGATCTCTAATTTATATATTTTTTAAAGAAATAATATCCATACTTATTTTATAAAAAGCATTGTATTATATTAGTTAAGAATAATTTATAATCTATAAAATATTATCCTTAATTTAAACTTTTAATATTAATTGGATAAGCAAATATAAGACTTATTTAACTAAATATAGACTTTAGTAGTATTTTAAAGTAAAAAATATTATTTTATCAGGGTGCAAACCACAAAAAAGATAGAACCATATTTCACAAAAAATTGAAATTACTAAGGTTCATAGGATGATTTCGGTTATCTGTTAGACTGTGAGAATCCTATTGCTATAGTTCATGGCTGGGTCTTATTTAGATTACAGACAATAAGATGTAAGATGCACAATAATATAATATTAATCAAGCGCGATGGAATGGTGATAAAGTCCGGTTCATATTTGCGGCTTAATTATTTCCGTGGATACCACAGGTGCAAAGGTCTTTGTGTTGATAAATTAGAGCCTCTTTTTAAAAATTCTTTTCAACATTTTCATTGCTTATATTTTCTTTTTTATTAAAGTTTATTATTTGTTTTAACATATTTCCTAAGTCATTTCTTGTAGCAATCTATTTTTGTACTTGTGCTCTCAATCAGTATCTAATCTAATTCTCTTAACTTTTTTGCTTTTTAATATAGGAAAAGCGGGAATATTTTATTCAGTATGTAATATTTGTAAAAATGTACATGGGCTTTTCTGATCAGCTGTGATTCTCCTAGAGATTAGTTACGCACTGCTTGAGCAAACCGCGCTTACTATAAATGCTTCAAAACGAAATAAAATACGAGACTGTTATGGAATTTTATTTTTAAACCCAGGCCCGGATTATTTAAATTTATACAGTTTTACTCTCATTTCGGGACCATCCTACACGTGCATGCTTAATATACTCTTCCTATTTGCAAAATGCTATGAAGAATATGATTTAGAGAGCATAATGAACAAAAGTAAAATTACATATTGAGAGTGATAATTATTTATCAAAATTTGAGAATCATGTTTAGAAAAATAAACTGTTAAATAATACAAAAGCAAGATTTAGTATGAGGCATATCATAGATGATAATTTTAAAGAAACACCTCTTGAAAATGTTGACAGTTAAAGGCAAAAATATTACTGGGGGAAGGGTCTCTGATTTATTAACGCGAATGTATGTCTGATAGTCTTTAAAATATATCATTTCTATAACTTATGCCATAAGACACTCGAATTTGGCTCACAGATTCTCGCATTTACCTAGCGAATAACTCACGGCGAAATATCCGTAGACCATTCAAATTTACTCAACATTCTATCCCACACAATCTTTAGTATTACTTCGATTTTACGAATCGAATTTCATTTATTTGAATATTCACGAGTATAAATTCGGATATTCAAAATTTTATTCGATTCGTTCTTATGAATTTTGATTAGTTTGAAAAAGGACCCTTTTGACTATAAAAGCTAAAATATGATTATTGCACCTATTAATTAATATTTAAAAAAAATATTAAAACTAACAAGTGAGCAACAATAATAATTTAAATATTATACCTAGGATTTAAGCTATTTAATTTGGATAATTACGCTAAAAAGCATATCGCCGAAATTTTAAAAATTGACAAATTAGTCAAACTACAAATAAATTAAGGACATTCGTTAAAAGAAATTATTAAAATACCAAAAATAAAAAAAATATTCGAAACCTGTTCAAACATCGAATATTCGTTAGTAGCGCCAGTCTTTGCACACTTTTTGATAAAAATTTTAATTTTATGAATTAAATTAATGATTATTTTTTATTACCTTTATCCCAATATTTTGATCTATTATTTTTATTATAGTGTGCAGTAAATTGAGCGTTTGCGTTTGTTTAAATTGAGGTTTCTTTTTTTTAATATGGGCAGTTCTTATAAAAAACGATTTGTGTTTAAAAGTTATATTATCGTCTGCCTTTTTATTTCCTTAATTTTTAAATATTCCTTTTTAAGATATAAGTAAGTTAATTTTTTTTACATTTTATATAATATTTCAAAATGTATAATAAAAAAGTAAACTGTTTGCGTTTGTTTAAATGGTTGCTAAAGTCAAACGGTAATTTTACCAATTTGCACAATGCCATTTGAAATGCATTATTGGCTTTTTGCAACGCAGCTTTTTGCCGTAAAAACGTAACGCATTCCTTGTTTAAAAATTGAGGTTGCTTTTTTATTAATATCGTCGATTCAAAATTTTGACTAAGTTTGAAAAAAGAATTTGTCTGAAAATTATATTATCGTTTGCCTTTTTATTTCCTTAATATTCCTTTTAAGCATTTAAAAATGTTGAATAAAAAAAAAGTAATGAAAGCAAAACTGTTCGTGTTTGTTTAAATGATTGCTAAAGCCAAACTGTATTCACCAATTTGCACGAGGCCATTTGAAATGCATTATTGGCTCTTACAACGCAGAAGATTTGAAACGTTCAATTTGCGCGCACTATAAAAGATATTTAAATTTTTGTGGTTAAAATATAAAGTTGAAAATTAAAATTGTGTATAATAAACTACACAATAATTTATATCACGTGATATTACCAATATTTTAAAAATAAAAATCATATTAATTTATTTATTTTTTTAAAAAAATTATCGTCTGCTTTTATTAAAATCTTGTTTTTGAATCGAATTTTAGAAAAACGAGCCCATAACAAAATTATACGAGTTTGGGAACGAGCCTAACAGGAAACAATTTTTAGATCTTTTATTACGTTTCAATGAACAAAACGCTAATCCAATTCCTTACATACCGACGGTGAGCAAAGCATATGTTGATCTTTACAGATTATACCACATGGTTAAAGATCGTGGTGGAATATTGATGGTACAATTTATTACTTCCCACGATACATTTAAATTTATTTATTATTAGGTAAATCAGCGAAAATTATGGCGCGAAATTGCTACACAAATTTTAGACGGTCATTCTGCTAGCGCATCCTATAATCTTAGAAAACAATACATCAAGTGTTTACTTGATTACGAGTGCAAATTTGATTTAAACGGGGCAGATCCTCTCCCAATTATATCTCAAATCGAGTCAACAACGAAAAAGAAGAAGAAAAAGATTGAGACTAGTATTAAAAAAATATATAAATTTTTATATAATTTAATTTTTGTTTAGGCCAATCCCTTTCAGATATGCAAGATTCACAAAATGCCTCCAACATATCTTTATCAGATGTTAGACAACAAGAACATTCTAACATGAATATATCAAACGATTCTTTTTCATCGAGCCAAATTTATCCACCATCTAGTCTCGCGATGAGTCAATCTCCTTTGCATAACAAATATAACGTAGAACCTTTTTATAACAGCGTTTCAATTCCAGCACAAGAAAGGGTAAATATTAGAAATCCATTTTCCGATGACATTCCTATGCCTTCTTACAATAATCAGCCCATTAACACAAACGTTAATTTTGAGTCATCAGATAAATCATACACTAGGCACCCTATACAACAAAAGACCCCTTTCCCAAATTCTAACTCTATTCGTAATATGCCAATGCATGCACCGATGGAGCATACCTACCCTAATCAAATGAATTCAACAATTATGCCCGAAAGATTTATGTCTCCACAAAATATTAAATTAGAAATGGCTTCTAATACCGATTCAAATCATTCATATCCTTTAAAAGAATCATCGCCTATACATTCTATCGATAATATACGACATCAATACAAAAATCAACCCTTGCCTTTAAACAAATTTTATTATCAAACTCAGCCTTCTGATAATTCGTAAGATCATATAATTTATTATTAATTATTTAATTTTTTTTAACATTTCAGATTTGTTGATAATTTTGCTCAAAATCCAAATAATGTTCCCTCGTTAAATAAAAATCACTCGGATGTTCCTTTTATCAAAACTGAATATCATCCTTCACCATATCCCCCGCCAAAATCCAATATTAATAATGATATGCCCAAAGAATCTCAGACGTGTTTACCGCCCCATATGGTTCACATCAAAAATGAGATGCATAACAAAGAATTGCCCATGCCAATGCATCAAAATGACCACATCCGCCACCAACTTCACCACCCCCCACCTATGAACGAAAACAAAATTCGGCCAGAGTACGGAAATTACGATACGCCTTATCACAGTAAATATAATATATTTTATTAAAAATGATTATTTAAAAAAATTAATGTAGGATCCAAATACCCATTCAATTCAAACATTTATCAAGATATTCCTCCAAATGTAACCATCACAGAAAATTCGATTGATCCTAAATCCTTAAAATTTTCAAATTCTAGGATATCCGAAAAATTTTATGTAAGCTTTTCATTTTTTATTGATTTTTCTACCACTAAATCATATGTTATTTTTTAGACCTCATCTTCATACATCCCGCGAGAAATAATTATCCCCCCAAACACGGTTGAAGCAACTATAGTGAAACCTCAAAAATTCAAGAAAATACATTCTAAAGATTTAGGTAAAAGATTTTTTTTATATACTTCCAAAATTATACAAAAAATAATAATTAAAAAATATATATCTTTTATCAATATTTTTACATTTTTGTTATTTATTATATTTATTACCTGATTTTTACTAAGAAAGGTATAATTTTATGAATTAAAACTCTGGGGTTGGGTTGTTAAAAATTCCGAATCGTGTAGATTTTTGGAAACGACCCGATTAAGATTTTAGCCAAAACAATATTATGCAAACCTGAAAATTTTGCTCATAGATGGCAGAAAGGCTTAACCTCTATTTTGCCAAATCTCGAGACTTACATAACCACATTATTTTTTAACAACCCTACTCCGTGGATTATTTGAATCTTGAATAGACAATTAAGATATAATCCAAAATTCTAGTCTTTTGACGGAGTCTCGAAACCGTACCATAATAAATACTCACGAATCAATTTGATCCGGTTTATGATAGGTTTTTAAGAATTTATTTATAAATGGCCAGCATAATTTAAAATATTTTGTTTGAAAAGTAAATAGTACATAATCATATTTCGGTATATTTAAGCTATTAGTCATTCTACATTAAATCGATCAAATAAATAAGTTTTTAATGGGATCCTCTTGGGGTTTATTTAAAATTTTCTATACAAACTAAGATACAGTTGACTAACCCAGTTTTTCCAAATTTGAGCATCTTATTGTTTCGGAGATTTCAAAGGTCAACAACTGAAAAATGGCCAATTTTTACGCTTAGAGGATTTATTACCAACATTAATTTATATCAGTATAAATAAAATTAGCATGCCAGCCAGTATATGATTTACATGGGGAAAATTGAATTAATACTAAATAACAAATATTTTTTTAAACAACATTATTTAAAATCAGGGTTGTATATTTGACGTCTTATATAATATAGTTAAATGAATCCTTATATATTTTTTTTAATTCATTGTCATTCGATAACTAATTTTACTCTATGTGGAATCTTGTCCTGATTCTTATTCAATATTATCATCTTCTATATTTTAATCAATTTTCTTGTCGAGATCTTCAATCGATATCTGTTTTTGTAAGAATATTAACCCAAATCGACCAATTTCTAAAGAAATTAACTAAGAAATGTTAGTAAAATGCCTCTTCTATTAATGGGCATGGTAAGCAAAGCCCAGCTTATTCCACTAATTTGAAACTGGAATCTGACTGTTTCTTATGGAAGTTGTTGTTTTCCACGTATTTTGCTATTAATCATGCCACTTTTCTTAAATTATTGATATCACATGAAATATTTTATCATCACTACCTTGTGTAATATTTAAATCTTATATTATATTACATACTTCATTTTGCAACTAGTAAGATGCTTTTCTATATAAGAAACCCAATAAATAAGCAGCATTGTCATCACATGTATTTGATTTTTTAGAATATTTGACCAGGCCAAATACTCCTGACGATTGACAGATTTGCCAACCCTGTTATAATGTTCTTATATTATATTATTATAGAGAATCTACAACACATATTTTTGCAATTTTTTAATTTTTAAAAGTAACTCCTTACATTAATTATTTATATCATATTACCCAAAAAGTTTTTCATACCATCCAACCACAGATTTTTTTTCTTTCTTAAATATGTATTTTAGAATTTACTATCATTTAAATACATTATAACTATTGAATAAAAAAATATTCTTAGTTTGTTTAATGTTTTTATCGATTTTCCCCATAAAAACGAAAACTTTGAATTCTAATTTTTTTATACAGATGTAGATTGGTTTTTAGTGCCATTTTCTTAAAAGTTTTTAAAATTGGAGAAAGTAATTAGTTATTATTCGGCAGTTTACATTAAATCTTTGAATAACAATAGAAAAGCATTAAAAAATATTATTTTTTATACTCTGATTTGATATTATCTTTAAAAGTATAAGAACTCTAGGATGCTAAAATTTAAACATTGCTCTAATTACTCGTGCCTTAGTCTGTATACAAAATTTAAACCAAATCCCATGGAGTTGAGGGTAAAATATAATAATATGAATATGATTAATTTTAAAATCAACACTGATAAAAACCCGGAAATAACCGATATGATTATTTAAATTTGGGTTGCCGGATATCGTTGATCATGCCATAGCAATTAAATATCGGCAAAATCGAACTGAATCGACCTCTAAAAAGTTTTTATTGTGTACACCGAAAAATTTTAATAGAACATTATAAACCGACAACATATGCTTAAATGACGTAGATTCTATATTTATTTATATATATTGCTAAACAGGAACCGTAGACATAAAGAAGCTGACAATGTCTCTCAAATCTGGAATATTTCACATCTACACCTCGGTGATCGATACTCTTAATGTACTCTTAGCCGACGAATCCAAAAATCCCCAATTTCTATTGTCGCAACACCCAGACTTGCTAGACTTATTGATAGAATATTTTGAAACATCCCTCGAATCAGTATTTAATCTGAAATTGACCGCCAAATCCCAAGTTAATACCGCTAAAACGCGCGATTACGTTAAACGACCACCGATTTTTATACCAGATAGAAAAGCTAAAACTAAATATCGTAATGGAAAGAATTACACCTGGATAACCAGAAACAAAAGACGAGTGATTGTGGACGAAAAATCTCTGATCACTCCTTCCCCACTTCAAACTATTTATAGTGATGAAAGCTTTGATATATCGTTGCTTCAGACTAAAAACATGCATCTCGATCCCTTAATTGTTCCTTTTAGATCTGATCTGATCACAAATATTAGCTTGTTAAACAATGATAACGTCCCCAAACGGAATGCATCTGACATAGATGTAGATATTGATAAACATTCACAGAGTATTGACAATAGAAACATACACTCCTTAGTCAATTTTGACGACTTTGGGCATTCACTGGCTCTACCCCATTCCACATCCTTTTCATCAATATCCACATCTCTATATTTCCCGGCCCAAGAATACAGATCCAAGAGCTTGATTCATAAATTATGTCTCTCACTTTCAAACATCTTTCGCAGTCTCTCCTTCATACCTGGTAATGAAGGGGTTTTATGCTCTGATCACCGCCTCTGCTCTTTACTAGCCCGCCTCTTATTACTTAAACACATCCATCCTTCGTCTCCCCTTAGTGACAAATTTACTCTAATCGAACGCGATTTCTGGCTTGCCCTATCTAAAGACGCCCTCGTGACCCTGTCTAACCTGACTGGCAAACTTGACCTCTCCCTCCTCCCGGATATAACAGTAATATCTTTTATCGACGGGCTGGCTCATACCCTTCTCTGCCCTCATGGGCCAGACATATCCTCCACTTTGGTTCCAAATGGACCTGTGTCGCGCAAATTCTTAGCCCTCGAGTGTCTTTGCAAGCTCAGTGTGGCCGAATCAAATGCTGATCATTTTTTGGCTTGCTTGACACTACCCCGATTGGAATCCCTTTTACGTTACCTGATAAGACTCCTATTGCTGCCTAACCAACATCAAAACACCGAAACTTCCGATATCGTTCTCAAGGAAGCTTCCCTTGTGTTACTCTCCAACCTAGGCCGGGCCGACCCGACCGGCTTGGTTTTCAACGCGATAGGGCATCATCCACACAGTCTTTCTGCCGTAGTTAGGTTTATGGAGGAAATTGAAGCCAACGCCAGCCGGGTGATTCATACTCAAGGGTTCCCAGCCCTGCGGGACAACCCAGAACTCATGGGTAATACAATAAATTAAATACTTGTCTGATATAATTTTCTTTTATTAAGTAAGAAAATTTCTTGATTAGAAAGGAAATGTTACCTGTAGAGGGATTGATTTATTTTTGCTAATTTCTATTCTTAAAATTTTGATAATCTTTAGCGGTTAATTTTAATTTGAAAATTTTTTTTTACACGATAGGAACATCCCTTTCCATGCTCCGCCGAAGTGCCAATCTTCTTCTTAACGTAGCTCACAAAACCGATGATAAAGAACGAATTTTCGCTAAGTTTCACAACCGATTACTCAATCTTGTCATGTCCCAGATCTTGGATCAAAATGTGGCCAATATACTAGCCCACGTGCTATACCTAGTGTCAACCCCTCCGAATTCCATTATTAGTTGTCTCAATATAGCAAGCTTATAATTAAAGCGGACGCGTTTTTAACCATTCCCCTACCCCTAATTCTTCCCACTTCCTCTTCCTAAAATATCTTAACTATTTGAGTGCCGATTGAAAAATTAGAATTAATAACTATTTGCCTTAATATAGTTTATTAATTAAAGCTTACCTGAGGCTTAGTTAAGTTCCCCGTCCCTTATCTTGGCGCTTGCTATTTGTGAATGATGACGATAATTTAAAACACTTCTTTGAATACGATATTTACGAAGCGATTTTGTGATTTTCAATGATCTTATAGACAACTAACTCACTGTTATTTCCTTTATTATTGGACTCTCACCTATCTTCTCTTTGCATCATTACTTTTTAACATCCGCTGGCAAGCAAATCAATTTGTAATTTCACAGTTGATGATTTCCTAGTCTTAGTATTTTTTTGCATATGAACAGTTCTGATAAATTATGTTATTTTGCTAATAAATTATTATAAAATCAGCCCCGAATTCTTGATTATGAATTGATTAATATTGGTTTTGAATTTGACACTTTTAAACAAATTATGATAATGAACTCCGAATGTTATATAAAACGAGCATTACAAAAAAAGATAATTTTATACTTATGATTGATTATATACTATATACATATATTATATATATATATATAACATTTAACATTTGATAATAAAATTGTCCAGCCATGTATAACACTTTTTTATATATTTGCAAAGAGAATAATATTCCGTTATCCACATCTTAACATTCTTGAATTTTAAAACGACATGAAATTTATATTATACTACTTTATTTTAGAAGTTAGCCATTCACTTAATAGTTTTGATTTCTCAAATTCAAAAAAATAATTATTAATCTCTTAAAATAAATTAAATTCACGATATTCATATAAAACCGATGCCGATCCTTATTTGCATATATCATTGAACCAATGCCATAAAAAAGTTAATATTTTCTGAGCGAATGGATAAAAGAAGAAATATAAAATTTCCCCTTTCTCATGGTAAAAACGATATTTGTAACACTAATGATAAGTGCATAAAATTTTATCTTATTTGAAATATGGGTGATTTGATGAATGTGTCCTTAGATATTTTTATATCTCTTCGTTGAAAATGATATACACATAGCTACTATTTCTTTAAAATAATTCTATTTTTTTTGAACATTACAAATAAATTAAATTTTAATCCTTTAATTTCAATTTTTTTTTATTGTTAGGAGAATAAGTATAAAATACAAAATATTATATAATTATTAGACCTGTGGGCCGAAGCCTCAATTGACGGTGGCGGTTTTTTCAATTCTTGCTGCGCCGATTTCGCCGCCGCCTTATAAATTAGCGTGGCCGTAGCGTGCTTTTTATTAAAATTTTTTAATATATAATTTAATGTATTACATTTTTCTTATGATTTATTTGAGCGCTCTTAGTTCTAACATTGTTAATATAGTTTCATTTCTTAAATCATTTTCACTCACTCCTTTTAAATTTATGTATTTTCTCAGAAACAGACAAAGAAATTGCATTTTTAACTCAGATCAGAGTCTTAAACAACACATTTTAGTAATATTCTATTGATTTTTAGGATGCACTATTTGGAAAAAAAGGACTGGACTAGGCTTGCTAATTTAGCTAGGAAGTCTTTATGTATCTGTAACCAGTACACCCAAGTGAGTAATTTTATCCATTGCTGGATTAATACTCAATGCCAAAAATACTTTATGTCCCACGAATCTTGATAAAATACTATTTATTCATGAAAATTATAATTTTACTAAATTTGACTTCTAATTTATTTATTTCTTGCATTCCAAATTTATATTATATACTATGTTGACTGGGCAAAATATGACATTCTTGCTCTATATTACTAATTTGTTATAATCATTGTTTGGAAGGGATTGTTTACTAGATATTTTATTATGAACGGAATGTTCGCCCATTATATTCAACTTGAATCTCAAACATTGCAAATGATGTAGAATTCAAATTTAATCTCGGGTCAAGTAGTGTAACTAATATCTAGTGCTAAATATAAAAAAATTACGTAAAGTTGGGTAATTGAAATCCTATGATAAAGCTTTTTTTGCTTTTCTTTTAGGCAAATGATATCTGAGCAATCAGATTTTGATTTGTATATGTGTTTACTGCGAAATAAATATAAATTTATTGTTGACACCTTTTGAGAGGGAAGAAATTCCACCGATTCTCTGAACGGGTTTAATAATGTGTAAGGTTCGTTAATTATATCCATTCGTATTAAGAGGTTAAGAATTGTTTTCCTATTTTATTTAGAATATTATATACACATCACAATTTTTCATCAAGGTATGGTTAATCGCCATGGAGGGGGGGGGGGGTAATTAAAAAAAATTATCATTTTTAGTAGTAAAAATATATTGGATTACAACAAATAAAATATAAAAATAATTAATTATTGCTTAAAATTCATATAATAAATGTAGAAAATTAATTATATAATATATTAAACAATTAATATATTTAAGGATATCTTAAGTTACAGAAATTTATTAACAATTTCTATTACACGAATATAAATGAATGATAAAATATTAAATGCTCATAATCGAAATATAAATCTCTCGAAAAAATAACTACAAAAATATAAATTTTTTAACCATTAATAAAATAAATTTAATTTATATTTAGAAAAAATAGAGGTCAGAAATATAAATTTATAATGTAAAATTCAATGATTGAATTTTTCAACGATTTCATCAATGCTTGTTGTCAACTCCCTATGTATATTAAGAAGATTTAACACTATGGCTGGGAACCAATAGTAAAAACCTAATATTAACAAAATATTGTATTGGTATTGGGTCTAAAATATGGTATTGATTTAAACAATATTTTCTTGTATTGGTATTGGTTTATATTGGTATTGGTTTAAATTCAAATTACTAATTAAAAGAATAGAAATAGTGATTATAAAACCCTTAATTTCTAATTTTAAATAAACATGGGAAAAAAAATCATGATACCATAAAATCAGGGCTAAGAACCAACTCTCAAAATTTTACTGAATTCAAATTCTTTTTTTAAACTAGGAATTTATTAGGTGATGTGAATATAAAAAATTTTGATTTAATCATGTATTTTTTGTATCAACAATAATAAACGTATTGATTTAATCATGTATTTTTTGTATCAACAATAATAAACGTATTGATTTTGAACCATTTTATTTATGACAAAGAACATAGCAAAATAAGTAAACTAAAAATGTAACATAACACAAAATATAATGCAAAAGAATGATATAATTTTAATATAAGAAGAGGAAATAATTTTATGTATTTAAGAAGAATCTTGCATGCGCATCCAACTTTTTAGGCACAGGCAAGCTTGTATAGTATGCTCATCTAGTGAACAACGTTGGTCTGTTATAACATACCGTCCTTCTGAAAAAGCCCTTTCAGAGCTAGATGAGGTGGCCGGAATTGCTAGATAATCTCTGGCAATTTTTGATAATACTGGATATCTATTTTTATTTAATTTCCACCAATCTAATGGATTTGTATCATTGGAAATTGTGGCTTCATCTACGTATTTATTTATTTCTAAGTTGTTACTATTATGAGGTTTCACCTGATAAATTTTGTCATAAAAGGATAATTTTTTGTTATTTTGTGCTTCATTTGTAAGTTCCGCTGAATTGTTATTATTTATTTTATAAATATTGTATTCATTAGTAAGATATCCAATAAGAGTTTCCATATTATTATGCTTTAATAAATGACTTGATAGTTTAAATCTTGGGTCAATCATTGTTGAAATAATAAAGAGGTGTTTATTATAATTATAGTATTTATTAAGTTTTGTTAGGGCAGCTAAAGAAGCTGTCTTTAAAATATCATTAGGATTATTATTATAACTCTCCACATGCTCAAAAATACTGGAATATAAAGGAATAATTGTTGAAATTGTTGGAGTATTAGCACATGAGGCCATCTCTGTAGCAAAATTAAATGGTTCCAGAAATTCTCAGTATATTTCTATATTATTCCAGGCTAAGGCACTAATATAATTTTCTTGATTGGTATTTTGTAAATGATTGGTATATGTTGTCAAATAGGGTTTGAGCAATATTGCTCTTTCAAGCATTTGGTATGTTGAATTCCAACGTGTTGGTATATCCAAAATTGGGTGAGGAAATTTTAAGTGTGGATTTTTTTCAAGATATATTTTTTCGAGTTTATTAAATTTAGATATAGAAAGTTTAAAAATTTTTAAAAATTTCTTATTTTTTTTAAAGTTGTATTTAAGGGTTCCAATGCAGCCATGACAGCCAAATGTATAATATGGCAAAATCATTTGCACACATTATCAAAATTATCTTTTTGTTTTAAAATTTTTAGAAATGATAAATTATTACTTGCATTGTCTAATGTAATGCAAAAAAAATCAATTTCAAATTTTACTTTTAATACAGAATTAAAAATATTAATAGAATTATGTGCTGATTTAAAAGGAATAAAATCTAATAAATGATTATTTAATTTAAAATCATTATCAATATAATGAATTGTTATGCCCATAAAGGGTATTTTATTTGGAGAGGACCAAATGTCCATTGTTAAGGAAAATTTAGATGTAATTTAGAAAGTACAGATTTTAAATTGATAAAAGAACTATGATAATGTTTCATAATTTCTATCTTTAGTGTTTTTCTAGAAACTAATGTTAGTGAAGGGTTACAATATGCTATTAAATTTTTAAAAGTGATATCCTCAATTATTGAAAAGGCTAAATTATTTTGAATGAAAAAGTTTATAATTAAATTATTTAAATTAGCTTTATTAATTATATTATTAAGTAAAAATGATTTTATTGTCTTAATTTTTTTACTGCCAATATTCATTTGCTCACATTCCTTATATAATGTTGGGTGGATGGATTTAAGATGTGTCCATATTCCTGAGGTTCCAAAATTGGGAAGTGATATTTTTTTTTACATTTATTACAAATTGCCTTTTTTTTATTATCACAAGTAGTATAAAATTCCCAGATTTTTGCTGAATTTCGTCTTTTATTAGATATTGATAATTCTTCTTGTTCCTTATCGCTATTATTATTAGTACCAACAGCATCTATATTTATTAACTCTATTTGGTCTTCATTTATTATAATATCCTAAATAAAAAGATAAAA